GGTGCGCGACGACTGCAACAAAATCACAGTCGCCAAGTCGCCACCGACAGCGATATTGCAGAGCTGTTTACTGTTGGTGTTCGCAGTCAACACCCTGGATCGTGAAGGTCGGAGCTAGCTAAAGGCAGCTCGTATTTCACCTCGACCATTCACGCAATCATTCAAACTCGCGCGAATGATGCGGAGGCCCCCAACTCTACGCGCCATCCATCATGCACCACTAGATGAGGCCACGTTCCGTCTTCTCTCGTTATAACGCGATGTCATTGCGTTAAAACGTTTCCAGCCATGAGCCCCACAAGACCCGAGTCGTCAACGTTCGGAGCTGGGCGGACGTTAAACCCAGCCCCCGCAACTCAGACTCGCTTCGCGAGCTCCAGACACCTTGCCACGAAATAGTAATGGCGGTAAAACGAACATTATTTCGTGATACTCCTGTGCGCTCCGCCACAGCGGCTGCCAGATCATTACATGACCGGTACTTTTTCACCTTACGCTCGTGGGACATCTCCAACGCGGTTTTGCTAGACACTACCTGCGCGTCTACGACCACTGCCTCACCACCCTTAGCGATGGTCAGGTCGGGCCGCCTCCGGCCGGCAGACGTCGAATACGCTTGTTCCGCATCGACGCGCCATCCCTTCTGCTGTAAATAGCCACCAACTTGACGGCATAGGTCGTCATGCCGCAGGATTTTCCCTCCGTGCGTTCTGAAGCAGCGTTGCACGCAGTGAGCCGGCGTCTCGGTTTCGGGACAACCGGCACGACAGCGATTATCGCGCCCATCACGACCTCGGAAGCATCTCGCTCTAGACGGTATGCAGTAGCTCGTATGTGGTGATAGTGCACGTAGTCGGCACCTGGGATGGCATCGGCGCCAGCCGATACCCAGTAGGAGCTCAGGTTGGAGGCCGCAACCTCTTTGAGTCCACTCCCATCGCACGACTCGCGCAACCAGGCCGCACACTGCTGTCTGAGCTCAGCGGTCGTAGTCACTCTGTGACCCCGCACTCGCATCTGGTTTTCACACCAGACAAGCTGCCTAGCCACATACGTGGTTTCGGCAGCCGCGCATGCTGCGGGTAGAGTACTCCGACACAACCGCTGCAGTCGGTTATGTTTCAGAAATGGGATCAAAGTTCTCAATAGAGGCATTCCAAGCCCGCCACTCTGTATCGGCGCATGCAGGTATCCAGCAGGAACATCATGGGGAAAACGCAGCCATCGTCGCACCGCGGTGCGTACGATGATATTCTTACCCTTGAGGGTTTTGGCCGAGACCGTACCCACTGTCCATCGGTGATAATACCGTGGAAGGAGACAGTCACGCAACAACCTCAGCCGCTGTTGCGGCTTAAGAGGTGCCCTCGTGAGTTGCTCGATGGCCTGAGCTAAGGGTGGATCGCTTGCGAGTTCCCTAGCACCTGTGTATTCGCAGCCCAGATACGTCCAGACATCGACCAGGGATCTTTGCGGTATCATCGCTCCCCCCCACGGTGAAATAAGGTGTGGTGTCCACCTTCACCTTCTTGTCTCTGCCGGACGCCACCATGGACAGCACTCCGGTCTTTCTCGCGTTGATCTCGAGCCCATTTCGCATAAAGGCGTCATGAAGCCGTGTCAAGTTCTCCTGCAGACCATCTCTGGTAGAGACCAGGAGCACAATGTCGTCTGCGTAGCCCAGCGCATTGATAAGCCGGCCACCCAACCGATAGCCAACGTCCTCCGAGAGAATTCCTAGTGCTCTATCTACGACCAGATTGAACAGCAGGGGCGACAACGGATCACCCTGTCTCACGCCACGGCCAATCATGATGGCCGACACTTCCTCAGCGCTGACCCCCTGCAACTCGGTCAGCGCATTCGAATAGACAGCCCTTACGTACTCTCTAAACTCCCAAGGGAGCCCCAGCTCATCGAGAGTCGTATGAATAGCAGCGTGCGCAACCGTATCGAAAGCTTTCGACAGATCAACGCACGCCACATACAGAGAACGACAACGCCTCCGGGCGTCCTAAAGCACGGATGAAAGGACTGTGACGTTCTCACATACCCCGTCCACCGGCCGGAACCCCCTTTGGCGCTTGTCGAAGATGTCGAGGGCTGCCAATCTCTTTGCCAATATCTTGTGGAAGTGTCTTGTTATAACGGATCTTATGCTGAGAGGACGGTACTCCGTCGGACCTGGCCGATCGGACATACCCCCCTTCTCAAGGAATACCGTTCTGGTTGTGGCGATTGACGAGGGGATCGTCTCTGCCAGGAGCAGCAGATTGAACAGAAGCGCACGAAGAATCGCAGGAACAGCGTTCCACATCCTCGGCGTAATCTGGTCCATCCGGGCGCAGTGCCAGTCCTTACGGAAATCCTGTTTACCTCTGCAGGTGTTAAAGGATCCCAGAGCAAGGTCTTATCCGCCACAGGAACTGGATCCGTGGCAGCGCCATCGCCGAGACCTTCGAGGTGAATCCCTCTCAAACTTGACGTACGGCCCCGGCCAGCACTCGCAGCCTGTGCCGCTTCCCCAAACGACTCACGCAAGTCCGTCATGTCTCCATCCGCACCGCTGGAGGCCTCCATAATGGGGCGCCAGCAGTTAAAGAATTCGACAGCAGACGGCCTCTCGCGCACCGAGTCGCCCTCGAGGATACGCGACAAACAGGACTTCTTGTTCTTCTTGTAGAGGGATTGCACAATTGCATACTCCCTCTTTCTCCTCTGCTCCCTGCTCTCTCGCTTGACTGGAGGACAGTGCTTCTTTGCCGAAACGCGTTGCGGAGGGCGCACTTGTAGCGGCCGAGGGAAGATCATGCCCAGCCATCTCTTGATAGCCAAGACGTCGACCCTCCCCGCCGTCAGAGCATCTCTTGCCGTGCCAGTAAGAGTATCAGCCTCGTAGCTACGGAACGCCGCACTCTGCTCTACGAGTGATTGTATCTTGTCCCGCAGCCTCTGAGAACTTTGTTCAGGGGAAGGCTGATGTGCGCTTTGATCGTCAGTACTAGCTTCAGTGGCCGCAGGAATGGTGTCGGCTCGTGTCATCACCGCACCATCCCTATCGCCCTCATCGATCACTATCGCGCGACGCGATTGGATCTCTTGGCAGAAGTCTCTAACCATCACTCGGTAAGGCTCCTGTTGCCGTTTACCCTTGATGGCTTCGAGACTCCTATTGGGGAACCTTGTCTCCAGATACTGGTTAATGAAAAGCTCCCCGGCTAAGGTGCCTTCAGCCTCAGCGCGTGCCATGAGTCTAGTTTCCTCAACTGACTATCTGGCCTTTACGCGGTCAACATTGATAGCACTGTTGGCTTGTAGTGAGTGAGCACGTACTTTGTGGACACCAAGACCACGCATGTTCCGGAACCTCGCCGAACACTGCTCACAGCTGATCATTTCCTCCTCTAGGCTGTCCACTTCAGCCTGGCTGGTCCTTATAGTGGTTTGCGACGGACCAGCTGCGACCCCGTCAGGGTCCTCCGCACCTCTCGCGCTCTCACTCAAGCGAGCACTCGCACGCAGTCCCCGGGCCATCCGAGAACCCGGGACAGTATTCTCATTCAAATTTCTCTCCATAATTAACTGCGTGTAGGGGGGCAAACGGATTGACAACCGAGAGCTTCCCAAGAAACCCCGGTCTTTCTTAGCCCCACAACTCACCATGACCGTAGGCGCATGGGCCGAAGCCCTTAGGGGCGCACTTCGCTGTACACTCTCTTAGACGACACCTACCGAGTTTAAACTTTCAAAGTAGGCCGTTTCCGGGAGCACCACGAGGAGGTGGAGGTACAACTTGGACGTGAGAGGCTGAAGGTCCTTACTAGAGGACTTCGTTGGCGCATCACGAACCAACCACGACTCTCTCTAAGTACCATCGCAGCGTGTTGCTTTGAGGACCGAGAGAGTCATAGTTACTCCCACACAATCCTTTTTGTATTCTTCTATTTCGATTGGATCCGGATCGTCACAGTTTTTAAGTATGAAATCTTCTTTGAGATCTTCAAACTTATTCTTCAATTCGCGAGGGCATTCATAATCACAATTTTCAGTTGCCACGGATCTCACTTCCGAAGTTTTCGGGCAAGTTCTCCGAATGGGAGAGTTTTAAAAATACTTTCGAGTCTCTTGTCGCGAGTAATGATTCTCTCTCGAACACGCAGAAATTTCATTACCTCAAAACGAGCGTCATCAGTGACGCTGCCTCGATTATTAGTAATTTAAAGATTTCCGACGCTAATTATGAGTCCGTCTGGCAGTTGTTGATTGACGAGTATGATGATCAACTTACGTTGATCCATACTCACATTCACGCCTTTATGTGCCTACCGACAATGAAGACGGAAAACGTCGCGGAAATGCGAAAGTTGAGAGATACCGTGTCCGCATCTCTAGCGGCTCTCACTAATCTAAAGCGGCCGGTACGCGAGTGAAATGACATTCTCGTCTACGTCATCTCTCAAAAATTTAGTTCGAAAACAAGGAGCGAATGGAATTTAAAAATTTCGTCAAGTCGCGAGCTTCCTTCGTACAAGGATATTCATGAATTCCTCACGCTTCGAATACGAGGTCTGTCGGACTTCTCCGACAATCCTAAAGTAATCGTCAATTCTAAGAGTGACAAAACGCAGTCCTCCGTTCATAATCTTTCCGCGATTAAGTGCATTTGCTGTTCCGGCAGTCATTCGGTAATGAAGTGCGAGGAATTTCGTCGGAAAAACGCGACATAGCGGCATGCCATCGCGCGACAGAATCGGGTCTGCTTCAATTGTTTGCGAGCGGGACATTTCACGCCGAAATGCTCGAGCAAAATTCGATGCGCTCATTGTCAACGCTCTCATAACACATTGTTACACAATGAGAGTGATCAAAATAAGGACACAGCGGAAAATTCCCGTTTATCGAATTCGAGCGTTAATGCGTCTACTACCACGAGTAAGACTGTCGTAGTCGGCGACGCCGCCGTCGCCAGCGTGCAAACTCTCAAACCTTAGAATACCACGATGCCCACCGTTCTTCTCGCGACCGCGTGGGTTGACATACACACTTCTGAAGGAAGATGTTTTAAGGTCCGCTCTTTATTAGATCAAGGGTCTAATTTTAGCTTTATTTCCGAAGCATTGAGTCAAACGCTTCGCACTAAACGACAGAGGACCGATCTTCAAATAAAAGGTTTCGGGGAGAAATATGCCGGTTCTGCGCGATCGAGAGTTTCGCTAAATTTGACGCCGTGCGAAAAATTGAATCCTGTTTTTCCGGTCACTGCGTATGTATTCCCGCGAATAACTTCGTACGCCACGTCGCGAATTCGGCCTATAGAATCATGGCCTCATTTACAGGACCTTTCACTAGCATATCCGGATCCATCTAGTCGACATCAGATTCACATGCTGATCGGCGCGGACGTGTACGGTTCGCTCTTATTGCGCGACCTGAGACAGGGCCCCTATGGAGCGCCCACTGCCCAATCGACCTCGTTCGGTTGGATAATCTCTGGACCGACCGGAAGTAAAGAAACTACTTCACAAGAAGTAACTGTTTTGAATTGCGTATCCGCGCTGGATGTGGACTCTCTCCTCCAGAAATTCTGGGAGGACAAAGAGATTCCCACGCCAACTTCCCTCACGGAGGAGGAAGAAAAATGCGAATCTCATTTCGCTCAAACGCACAGTCGTGATCCTGACGGTCGTTATGTCGTGAGATTACTTTTCAAAAATGCTTTGCCGATCGATATCGGGGAATCTCTCTCCATAGCGCGTACATTGTACGGTCGTCTGGAAAATAAATTGAATTCAAAATCCGATCTCTGTTCGCTATACAGAGACTTTCTTACAGAATACGAGGCCCTTGGACATATGACTCGCGTTGGCGAGTCCGAACCCACTGAGAATATACCGATTTATATTCCCCATCATCCAGTAATAAGAGAGGATAGTTGCACCACAAAGCTTCGAGTCGTATTTAACGCGTCGTGTAAAACCCGGAATGGCACGTCACTTAACGACCATTTGCTCATCGGGCCAAAGTTGCAGCAGGATCTCCCTGCCGTCTTATTGCGTTGGCGTGCATGGCGCTTGGTTTATACGGCAGACATCGCCAAGATGTTTCGACAAATACGCGTACATCCGCGGGACGTCGATTACCAAAGAATCCTGTGGCGTCCGACGGATGACGCTCCGCTTACTCATTTTCGCCTTCTTACAGTGACGTATGGTTTAGCATCGGCACCTTATCTTTCGATGCGCGTGCTTCGACAGCTCGCGCTTGATGAAGGTGCAAAGTTTCCTGCCGCGGTACCGATCGTCAATGATTCCATTTACGTGGACGACGCATTGTTCGGAGCAAACGATATCGATTCGTTAATAAATACGCGAACTCAGCTCGCTGAGCTAATGAGGCGCGGAGGTTTTTCACTTCGTAAATGGGCTTCAAACTGTAGCGAGCTTCTTGACGATTTATCCAGCGATCAATCGGACGTTACCGATCACCTTATCCTAAAGGACGAAACGTTGAAAATACTCGGATTATCATGGCTCCCTACGGAAGACTCCTTCCGCCTTACTGTGAAATTTAATTTTCCTACCGCGTTAACTAAGCGTTCAATCCTGTCGTGCATCGCGAGCTTGTATGACCCCCTCGGATGGGCTGCGCCGGTTGTAATAAACGCAAAAATCATTCTGCAAGAGCTATGGCTTTTACATTGCGACTGGGATGCTCCGCTTCCGAACGAATTGAGTCAACGGTGGAATGCTTTCGCTTCCGAGTTCCCGCAATTAGAATCCGTTAGAATTCCTCGGTGGACGGGTCAGAGCCCTGATAATCTCGCGTTAGAAATACATGGATTCGCCGACGCTTCAAATCGCGCGTACGCTGCGGTCGTATACTTGCGCGTTTTCCATTCTCTTTTGGAATACCGTGTTAGCTTGATCGAGCGAAGTCGAAGGTGGCTCCCGTCAAGACTGTTAGCATTCCGCGGCTCGAGCTCAACGCCGTTGTTTTATTGAGTCGACTCGTTAAGTGGGTAATTAAGTCATTAAATATTATTCATTGTCCGATCCATTGTTGGACGGACTCCACGATCGCGTTGGCATGGTTACGCCAACATCCATCGAAATGGACTACGTACGTAGCAAACAGAGTATCCGAGGTGCAGTGTAATCTACCCTCGGCCAAATGGAATCACGTACCGTCCAAAGACAATCCGGCCGACTGTGCATCCAGAGGGTTGTACGCATCCAAGTTAGTCTCACATCCGTTATGGTGGGCGGGCCCGCCTTGGCTTCAATGGCCTTCAAGAGCGTGGCCGCCACATAACATTGCTTCTCCAATCTCCACGGAGTTAAGGGGTTATAACACCTTTGAGGGTCAAAAAAATTCAAAATTTTTTTTTTTTTGCTTAAATGATACTTTGGAATGTATAGAATATAATTTTATTCATCTAGAGTCGGTCTGGAACTTTTTCATGTACGAAATAGCCATGTTTGTACGCGGCGCCATAGCGCGCGGAGAGAACCTGGGAGCGCTCTCTGAGTTCTGCCTTTCTACTTCAACTATCGAGTAGTTGAGAATTTAGTATAATATTGTAGATGTCTCTTGTGACCATTTCAACAGAAAACAGTATATTCCTATCATATAATACTTTATTTTATGCCAGAATCGTGTGTTTACTGCGAACAGTTTCCGTTACACCACCGACTTCGGCTTTTCAAATTGTTGTAATAATGGAGAAACAAAGACTACATATAGATCAGAAAGGGAGTAGAGCAAGTACTTCACGTGCACGTAAAAGTTCAATAAGTAGAAGGAAGCCTTTAAATAGGTATTCTTTAGAAGGCGAAAGTGAAAGTGTGAGCACGTCGGCGAAAAAACTTAAAACGAGTGCGGACGATTACGAGATACACGTGGACAATACTTTTGGGTATCGTTTCATTAATTTTGTTTCCGTTTTTACAACCATTTCGCAATTAATTGTTTGCAAAACGTGTGGCTCGAACATCAAATTTGAAGAATCCAGACGTCGCGGTCTTGGTTTCAAAATCGGTATTATTTGTGAAAAATGCGTCCCAAAATATATTGACTCTAGCCCTCTTATAAACAATCACGCTTACGAAATAAATCGCCGAATGGTATTTACAATGAGATTACTTGGTATAGGAATCAATGGAATTAAAAAATTTTGTGCATTTATGTGTTTGCCGGTACCAGTGTATCAGTCTTTTTATGACAAAATAATTTCAAACATTCGTGTTGCCACTAATACTGTATGTGAAATTTCAATGAAACGAGCAGCTGCAAAAGAAAAGGAGATGTCATTGGAAAGAAGACAGATAGATGGGATAACAGTTTCTGGTGACGGGACCTGGAGAAAGAGGGGATTCTCGTCTTTGTTCGGTGTCGTATCACTAATAGGGTGGTGCACGGGAAAAGTCGTCGACATTGCAGTGAAATCTAAATTCTGTAAGGCCTGCAGTTTGTGGAACGGAAAGCAAGAAACAAGCGAATATGAAGAATGGGCTGCAAATCACGAAGCAAACTGCGAAAGAAATCACGAAGGTTCGTCGGGAAAGATGAAAGTAGACGCAGTCGTAGAAATGTTTCAGCGGTCCGAAGAATTGCACAATTTAAAATATTCTCATTACATCGGTGATGGAGACAGCAAAACATTCAAAGGCATTTTAGATTCGAAACCTTATGATGATTTGAATGTTTGTAAAAAAGAATGTATAGATCATGTTCAAAAACGTATGGGCACGAGATTACGTAATTTGAAAAAAAATGTAAGAGGTCTTGGAGGCAGAGGAAAATTGACAGGCAAACTGATCGACGAGTTGACAATATACTATGGTCTGGCTATTCGTAGAAATTCTAATTCCATTGAAGATATGAGACGAGAAATATGGGCGACTTTATTCCATAAGATTTCAACGGACAGCGAACCGCAGCACGACCGTTGCCCAATCGGAGAGAACTCGTGGTGTTCTTGGCAGCAGGCGAAAGCTGAGAACGAATTAGATGAATACCAACACAAACCAGCTTTAAACAATGAAGTTTTTAAAGCTATTCAACCTATTTACGAAGAATTAAGTCGAGACGAGTTGCTATCCCGCTGTGTTGGCGGGTTTACTCAAAACAGCAACGAGAGTTTTAATTCTGTGCTGTGGGCAATAGCACCAAAAACTGTTCACAGTAACAAAGCAATCGTCGATATTGCCGCAAATATTGCTGTTTGCAACTTTAATGATGGTTTGCACAGCATAATGCAAATTATGCAAGTGTTAAATCTAATAATTGGAAGTGCTTGTTACAATTTCTGCGTTCAAGCAGACGAACGCCGGATCCGCGCAGCTGAGCGCACTATGACCGAGGAAGCTAAAGAAGCTCGTAGGCAGCAGAAATCAGCTCGGAAGGCCACAGATGACGAGGACATTAATGTAGAAGGTCAACTGTATGGTGCAGGCATTGCAGATTAACGGTGAGCTCCTAATAATTACAAGTTTTCTCGTTGCAAAACTTTAAATGCGATTTCTGTAAAACACCATTTTTCAAATCGGTGGCCAGCTTAGCTCCCACAATTTACATCGGATTAACTTGAAACAAAGCTTATTCTGCGCTAAATTAAATTGTTTATCGAGGTACGTAGCCGTTTTTTAATAGAATTGTTAGTTTTTTTTTGGGAACCAATTTTATAAACGATTTTCAGTGAAAATTTTTATACTTTTTTTTCAAATTAGTGTAAATTCCACAAAAATTAATATTTTTCAAAAATCCTACGTACCTCGATGGAAAATTTATCAGAGAATATGAAAAACTTTTCATTTTTGTTCTATGTCATACCAGTAAGCCGGAATCCTGGCCACCGATTGGACCGGAATAGCGCAAAGGGTCATCTTTGGCGCCATCTACAGGATATTCTTCAAAGATTTTTTTAATTTAAAAATAATTTTTATAACTAGAAACTATAATAAAATCAACCCTCAAACCCGTTTTTTGATTACTCTATTCCTTAGATGTGAAAAAAATTAATGAAAAAAAGGAAAAATTTCTTACGCAAAGGTGTTATAACCCCTTAACTAAGCAAATACACTCGGAAAGTCGAAAGTCCACTGTCCTTCACGTGAAAGGTACACCGGAATGGAATCTCCCTTATAGATACTCCTCCTGGACTAAGCTCATTCGAGTGACAGCCTACGCTTACAGATTTATATCCCGCTCCGCTAAACAAAGGAATTTTGAAGCTAATGTTGCGTTGTCTCCTAACGCGGACGAACTTAAACGCGCGGAAATGTTTTGGGTCTCATATACGCAGAGGAAGTCGTTCGACTCCGAACTCAAAGCATTAAAGAGAGAAGAAAACCTTCCGCGAAAGAGCCCACTGAAGCCTCTTAATCCTTTCATAAGAAAAGATTCCTTACTACGTTTCGGCGGGCGGTTACGGAATTCCGCACTATCCTTCGAGGAACAACACCCTATCTTAATTCCTCGGAGTCGAGTAGCCGAGTTATTAATTGATCAAACGCACCGAAGCTCACTTCATGGAGGAACTCAACTTGTGCTTAGAACACTCTGCCAAAAATATTGGATATTAAGTTGTCGTAATGCCGTAAAACATTGCATTAGACAATGTGTCGTGTGTGCTCGTTACGCGAACAAACTATCAAATCAACTTATAGGAGACCTTCCCTCCCCTCGCGTAAATCTATCATCTCCGTTCACGCATACGAAAGTAGATTACGCCGGGCCGTTCCTTGTTACTTCATTAGTCGGTAGAGGACAAAAGACACGTAAAAGTTACATCGCCTTGTTTATCTGTCTTGTGACGAAGGCTATCCACATAGAGCTCGTTGAGGATTATTCCTCTGCGGGATTTATAGCGGCCTTTCGAAGATTCGTTAGTCGACGAGGATTGCCACAAAAACTCTACAGCGACAACAGCACGAACTTTCACGGGGCGGACCGGGAATTAAAAACGGCTTTTGACAAATTGACCAACGACATTTCGCTACTGTTACGTCTCGTGGGGTCGCGGCTGCGAAAATTTGAATGCAGAGCTCGGCTTTTTCCACGAGACACGATCGCTATTACGGGTACGCGAATCTATGCGATTCTCCCCGGGGATACCCGCGATCTGAGGTTATTCGCGCTGGAACTGAGGTGATCGGATTATTGCGTGGGACCTACCTGTGACTCTACTGTAATAAAGATAGCTTCGTCGATTGCTCTATGCGAAACGTCGTTGGGGTTGCGTAAGTAATCTTCGTACGTAAACTGACAAAGCTCGCACAAATCACCGATTCGCGTGAGAGTAAGTCGGAAGTTGCAGACTCCGCAATTTATTCCGATAGGTGTTCCGCCTATGATTAGAGTATGCTTCCGAATCCTTGTCCAAAGTAATTTCGAGACTCTAGGTAAGGTGGAGTAGCATGAAATGCAGAGAGCTGCCTTAGTCTCAAAATGGATGTACCCGACACCAACTTGGCAATAAAATAAGGGTTCAAACTGTACAAAGAGATTAACTTCTGGAGGAGGAGTTATACCTCTAAGGGTGAGTGGGCACATTTGTGTTTGTTGCGTAATCGAATTGATAATGCGTCATTCGCTCGTAGATCTTCGGTGAACCCGGCAGTTATCGAGAAGTTAGTAGTCGTCGGCAAAACCGTCGGTAATTGTTCAGTAAAACACTGGTAAGGTGCCAGTAAGGTGTCGATAACCCGTTGGTAAAAGAACGTTCGTCGGTATATGGTTGGTAATGTCGGTATAAGAACGTAAAACGTATGTCGTCGGTAATGTCGGTAAAATGTCGGTATGTCGGTATGTCGGTATAGATATGTTGGTACGTCGGAAAAACGTATGTCGGTATATCGTAATTTAAATTGTTTTCTCAATGATTACGAAGACTACTTTGTTGTACGGATTTACGAGTTACTTTTGAGTTTTTAAGAGATTGAACTATTTGCGTTTTTCCGTGTTAGAATTCCGAGGGTGGCACCGCATGTGGTGGTCGACC